ATAGAGACAGGCGAGATGAGAATGTTGCATGAAAGCGAACAGAAAAAAACTTGAGCAGTGCGGGAACTATACTCAGAATGAAAATTTCTCCAACATTTCTGGGATTATATTGACATTTCCACCAATCATGAAGCTCTCACAATTAGCACTTGTACTCATGGTAACAATTTGAAAACTTTATTTACGTCGTCTATGTGTCTGTCGCGTGTCCATTTCACACTTATTCAATCAGGCGTCTATCACCCAAAGAAAACAGACATTGCATACACAATACATACACTCATTTCTTGTATACACAGGAACTGGGGCAGCCCCAGGACGGTGAACACATGTGGACACGGGAAGCACTGCATACAATAATTGACAAGTCTCAAAAAGCCAATGCGGCTTCTATTACAGGGTTTTGCAAGTTTCAATTGTTGTAATTTTTGACTTGATACATTGTAGCAAAGTCGGGGTGCGGCTTCTAATAAAAGTGCGGCTTCTATTACGAATTTTACGGTAACCTCTGAAAACAGCCTCATAAAAGAATAGTTATAAAATTTACCCCTTTTCTGTTACAAGCACACTTAGCAACCATGGAAAAACATACAGGTAACTCAAAACCACACAAAAAGTACATCCACCTTTCTTGGCTGATATAATACCGTACTGTACTGTGTCTCTCTGTTTGTAGGATGTTGTTACTCCAGTCCACTGCTTGTACCTGGTGGCCGTGTGTTTGTGTGGCCTATTGTTCAACAGCTACAGAGGCTTAGTCTGAACACCATGACTTTGAAAATAGATTCTCCGAATGTCTATACACGACTTGGTGTTCCTATCTCAGTCACTGGCATAGCCCAGGTAAGGTTTAGCATTCATAGTTTATCAGTATATTAATTAATAATATATACAGTATTTACAATATTTTGTATTATATACTGCTTAAAATTACATTTAAACTTTACAAATCTGTGACGTACCCCATCCCCTGATAATAAATATATATTAAATGTTAAGAATGTGGATGAGTAATGGGAAATCAGAATATGAATTTAAGTGTGCTTTTTAAGCTAGAGTTGTTAAACAATGGACCTTCCAGTACTTTCAAAATAAAGATTTTGCAACATTCTAAATTTTATTATAATAATTACATACATAAGTAATATGTACACAGATAAACTAATGTGTGTTTTTGGCAACAGTGGTTGTTCTGTCGTATTTTAGCTATATGGAAAATCAAAATGTTAGACATTTGATACTAATTAAAAAATGTATTATGTATAAAACACAAAGTGGTATAGAAATGCTGTAAATAGCAATCCTCTATGTTTTCAAAGCTTTTTTATCCTGGAGTGTCATACTGTTAGCCTACACTTCCCCTTTAAGTAATAGTGACAAATTACAGTTATTTAGTGTGATTTCATTCAAACTTACCACAAAGTCGTTCCATCATGGCTTGCATAGGCTGCACTTAGTAAATTAGGATAAACAATAAAGCCTAATTATCTTATTAATGAATATAATATAATGGATTGTATTGTTATGCAAATCAATTTGATATTTTATGACCACTCTGAATTCACACAAATTACCAGTGAATACAAATGAATATTCAACTATATTGTTGAAGTCCCCAGTAATTTGGAACAGTAGCTATTCTCTGTGAATCCACACTCATTGGAACATTATTCAAAAACCTTGCCACTTAAAATTAAAAAAATACTATCAGTTTCAGCAAAAAAAGATCAAATACTGAAACTCATCAGAAAACTTTTATGATACTTGGTGCAAATTCAGACCATCAAATTTTTCACATAATAGCTTGAATGCCCTGAGAGTGTAACTTTAGGTTTAGATATGACTGGTAACAGAGACTGTCAAAATGCATTACATTATTTCCCCTCAGGTTAAAATTCAGGGTCAGAATCAAGAAATGTTACTGGCTGCATGTCAACAATTCTTGGGGAAGAGGATTACTCAGATAGAAGATGTTGCAAGAGAAACTCTTGAAGGTCATCAGCGTGCAATCATGGGTAATATGACAGTGGAGGTAAGCTACCATCTGATTGGTTTTTGTCATATTCTCATCATTCGCATTCTTAAAACTTGAATAAACCAATTTGTTTGGCAATCCTAAGTCAAAAAACAGATTTGGATTGCACTAACTCTGCATGTGTTTGCTCAACCTTCCAGTCAAATTTATTTCCAATCAGTATAAAATCTTGATTAAGTCTAGTTTTAATGTGCTAAGCATTAGTTTCTATTATAATGCGAGTGGCTTAAATATTGCTTTTGCTTTAACATTGAAAAATAAATAGTATTGCTCCATTACACCTAGGAACAATCCTAGTATTATCTTATCACATCACACATTATCATGGAATGTCATTGACCAAACAAATATACAATTAATTTGCTGACCACAATAATAATCACTAGCTTTTATATCTGAGTGTTAGTCAAGTGATGTGTGTGGAATATTTCTTGGGTTCTTGACTGGACTAAGCACATAATAAAATAGATGATCCAGGACTTGAATCCTAGTGCCAAACTTGCAATTATTGTAATATCCTCATTCAATGTGTTGAATTTGCTGACTTGTTTCATTCCATGGGTAGGTTATATCCTCATTCAATGTGTTGAATTTGCTGACTTGTTTCATTCAGTGGGTAGGTTATATCCTCATTCAATGTGTTGAATTTGCTGACTTGTTTCATTCAGTGGGTAGGTTATATCCTCATTCAATGTGTTGAATTTGCTGACTTGTTTCATTCAGTGGGTAGGTTATATCCTCATTCAATGTGTTGAATTTGCTGACTTGTTTCATTCCATGGGTAGGTTATATCCTCATTCAATGTGTTGAATTTGCTGACTTGTTTTATTCAGTGGGTAGG